TTCGGAAAGTTTTCGCGCTGAGCGGTGACGCTATTTTAAAAGGACTGGAAGTTCACTTTATAATGCATGATAACAGTTACTAATGTAAAATATTATATTAGTATTTTATTACATATTCTGAATTTTATGTCTAAGGCTAATTTTATTTTGTAAATTTCCTGCCCTTTTATACTGATGAAATCCTGAAGAGAGAGGGAGAAAAAAAAGCTTTGATCCGTGAAAAAACTTTTAAAAACGATGAAAATAAAATGTGATCTACACACTACTGTGTAGATAATAGTAATGTACCATATATTGATACAAAATAAAATTAATACAAATATTAATATTGATTAAACACTGGTTGAATTTCCATAAATTGTTCCACAAATGTCTAGAAAAACCCAGAATGTTGACAGTTATACTATTGCAATAGATTCTTAACAAACTTTCTTTCGGTTTGGGGAAGAAATCTCAGACACACCAACTTTTACCAAGTTAGTACGGCTCTGAAGTAAGGCATGGCAGGTTTCATTACCTCCTATTGCCATCTTCACGGATGATCTGTCAGAGTGCTCGTATGGACACCGCGTACTGTAATGGAAGATTACGGGATTCGTCACCTGTTTGCAGCATTCGGAAGAAAGCGACAACATTTGCTGCGAAGAATCCCATCATATTCTATGAAAATGCGCCTTTTCATATGACGAGCATTGTCACGAATCTTCAGCGACAGTGGCAATGGAAGGTAGCGGAAAACACGCATACTCACCCTATATGATTCCATGTGAATACAGTGACTTAGCCAAAATGGGAGAATTGGTTCCGTTACATAAGGATTGCTTATGCTTTTGTTTCCTTACGTTGCTTGCTCGTATCACTATCTATATATATCACCATCAAGTATAGCTCTGATGAGAAATCCGGCGTACGAGTTCTCGCTGTTCTAGGCGACGTTAAACGACCCCAAGATTCGATCGTGTATCTGTTACGTGGCAGCAAAATATTATACCGCTATCGAAAAAGAGATCCTGTGCGACAGTTTAATATTTCAACTGTTCACAGTACGAGCTTTCTGATGGCCCTCGAGATCGCTACACTCTTCCTTGCGTGTTTAATGCGATATGAGGAGGTATGACTAGTCGTCGCTGTTGAGCCCGTGTTATGGGCGTCGCTGCAAGCCCTATGCGTTGATGTAATTAATCATTGTTTTGGAGAGCTGCCGCTGCAGTGTGTGAACGTCCTAATTTGCGTTCTGAGAAACTCTGCGCAGTGAGGCGCCGTAGCGCGGGTAACGTTGTTCGTTATTTGCCCGCAGGTGGGTGTTCTTGTCACGTTCGATGCCATCCACTGTGGCGGTACCAAGGCGTAAGTGCTTTTCGGTCTGTTGTTGTTTGCTCACGTTGCCATCTATTATCACTAATGGGAAGCGCGGCGTACGAGTTCCTTATGTTATTGGCGATGTTAAGCGACCTTCGGATTCGATAAAATTCTTGGGTGTAGATTTTAGGGTGCCCCTTGGATTATCGCCAAGTTGTTGTTTCACTTATCGCCAAATTGTTGTTTCATTTATGGTAACCTGAGTCATTAACTGTATGGAAACCATATTATGACGTCATTGTTGCGTGATTGCAGTGAATTTGACTGATGGGAAAATATTTGTAAGGGCTTATTTGCGTTGGACGTCAATCAGGAAGTTATTTTGTGCTGTATACCGTTAAATGGCTGTATGTGATGAGATTAATCTCATGTTTATGTACGATTTGGAAAGAAAAGCATTAATTGACTGGTGTGTAAGTGAAGGTTTACTTAGCAGTCATTATAAGTTTGTACGAAGGAAATGCGTATGATAGAACATAAAGATCGCTCAGATGGCTTTGAATGAGTTTGTCGCAAGAAAGGTCCATGCAAGAAATACCACCAATAGTCCGGCACTATGGAGGATATTTTTGGCTCTTATTTTTGTGAATTTATGTGGTGACGGCAGTATGCATGTTCTAGTTTAGATAATTTTAGAAAGTTTTTGGATCCTGTTAAGGAATTTTGCGTGCCACAGACTCAAGACACAGAAATTTCTAAATATGGTAAGTCGATATTTCCTTTTTGTAGTGCGTATATGCAATACTATGTATTTATTTTTATAAAGTTATTTCATTGTGTGAATTAAAATGCAGCTTATGGAGCTTCGATTGGCTACACATTTTGTTCAATTTTGGTGATGAGTATCGTTTAAAAATTATACGACGTCATTATTCTCCTGATTTTTTTTAAGTGAAAATAGATCGATGTGTACATGGACAAAGTCAAGGGAGTGTGCACTGCCGAGTTTGTACGATTCTTTGACTTGTTACTTTGTTTATGTGTAGCGGCCATCTTAAAGTTGTGCCTTGCTAGAAAATCGCGAAATTTCACCAAAGGACAGCCTGAAAAATATTTTTACCGATCTTGGAAGTGTTGCGAGTCAAATACCATACCTCTATCGCAAAAGAGCTCCTATGAGAATGTTTCATATATTTTAAATGAGTGCCGGTGATAAAGTGCCGGCATTTTAATTGGCAATGGGCTAGCATTTTAATTGGCCCTACAGATGCATAACTAAAGCACAGAAGAAGTTATCCATTCTTCAGAGCGTTTGCTGAGGGAAACAGAAGTAAAATTACGCTGTACGACGCCCTTCAGTTATTTGGCAGACTATGAGAGACATCGTAGGCCGTAATATTGATGGATTAGAAGTATTGCAGATATGGTGATAATTTTTTTTTTTCAGAACTATAGGTGTGTTGCCAATTACTTTTTATCCAGTTCCTGTACATCATTTTCAATATTATGAGGAATATATACTTATTCAAACTTTTTCAAAGTTCACGAATATCACAAAATATTCGTCCTAATTTATACCAATTTCAATAACTAAGAAAATGTCTTATTTTACAATTCGAATTGAACTTATATGTAGTTTAATGGTACGCACAGTCCGCTCGTAATTATTTGCCCTTTCTAGACCCAGAAGAAATATGAAGACTAAAGGCCTTCATATTGCAATTTTTTTAAGCTATTTTATATTTTTAATTTTAAAGGATTCAACTCCTTCTACTAAAGACTCCGTCAGTATGTTTTATAGAAGTATGCACTATCATAATTTAAACATTTCAATCAAAGCCAAATGAATGCACGCAAAAATAACCACATAGTACAAACACTGTATTTGACAGTTTAAAGGGCTTCAAGAAGTGTTTATACCGCATACAGCTCGAACAACGTTGCAAAAATTAGCGAATTTAATTGGGAGCTTTTGCCACATCCTGCTTTCTCTCCAGATATTGCCCCAAGTGATTTTCACTTATTTCGTGCCTTACAAAATTTTTTACTGGGAAAAAAATTAAATTCTAAACAGCATGTACACAATGAACTTTCAAGTTTTTTTTGCATCAAAACCAGATTTTTTCTACAGCAATGGCATAAAAAAGCTGCCTGTAAGATGGCGAGACATTGTAGATAATGGAGGAAAATATATAATTGATTAAAATGTTAAATTGTGTTATTTTTAATTATTTAAAAATTTACCAAAAAATGCGCACAAATTTATGGACTGACCCAACAGATGATCTTTCTGTTATGCTTATGTGTTTCATTCAATATGGCAAAGCAAGACAAGGACTATTTGCCCGACGGAGAGGGATGTCTCCGTACAGGACTTTCTAAAGGAAACTGACTCGTATGACATAGGCAAAACTATGAAAACATCCCTGCAGCTAGCGCATTTATTGGGATTCGATGTTAGATTAAGTCCGTGCAGCTTTTAGTTCAGTTGAAGATTTTGATTGCAAGACTGTATTTATCTTTCCTCTTTCTTCCAGGCATAAAATTTTACATTTAATATGCTTAAAGAGGCTCTTAATTTCAACCCATGGCAATAATATAGCAATTGATCCCTTATATAAATTTGAGGGATTTATATAAATACAAAGCAATAATAACGAGCTGAAAATTATATAAAATGCATGATAATGATCTCGTTTTAACCATTAAATCGTTAATAATGAATTAATTTCTTGATTTGATTTGGTTAATTCATAAAATAAACGCACGCACGTGAGCTAGTGTTAAAGAATGTAGCACCTTTTTCCATTGTGTTTACCATATTTTAAAATTGTGCTTTTCGATACATTTTAAAACTGAATGTTAATAATAATAATAATTTACGCTTTTAATGCATTTTTAAAATTTTGCAGCTGATTTCGCGCCTTCTTCTGGTCCTTCGGTTACTGATTTTTTCAAGAAAATTCTAGGAGAGTATTGCTTAAATACTTAACTCACAAAATTAGAATCTGGATTCCAAAAGATCTCGTTATCAAATTCACTTATCCGTACTAATATCATATCAAATGTAAAACTCTACCAGTTTTCTAAAATAGCAATCTCTCGAAATTTCCGATATTTTATATTAAATAATAAAACTAATAATCATGTTCTCTAAGACGACCACCTCCATATAAAGATCAAATTAGACTAGAAAATGTAGGTATTCGTTTTAAGCGATTTCATCATACTTCATTTCTGCTCAGCGAATGAAAAAGAAAGTTTCTCTTCAAATAAATTTGTTCTTTAAACAGCGATAAATAGTTCTAACAGTACATGTTACTAGTTCGATAGTATTTGTGAAATTGTATGTATTTTTAACACCCTTAGAATTTCGTTTCTAGAATTCTCCATTGCGTAAATTCGGTAAATTTGACGATTCTCAATCACAATATACAGAAAAACATTTTTAATTCATGCCGATCATTAATTTTACGCATATTCACCAATGACTGATACCAAATAGCGACTTTATACACAAATTTTAATTAGTATTCTAATGTTTTTATTACACACATTTTAACAGAAACATTGAAACAAGGAATCAAAACTTTTATCAACTGATTTCCTCACTTTAATAAATTTTTCATTCATTGACAAGAAATAATGCATTATTAGATAAAAAAAAATATTACATGACAATAAATTAAAAAAAAACTTACCGATTATTTTGTGTCAAGCTTGAAATTAAAGAAACTTGCATACACAGAAAGTTCAGCTGCAAACATAAATCCAGATTCCGATACTAAATCTTAACTGTATAGAATTCCATTATAGATACCCAAAGTGAAAATAACACGTGAAAAGTTGATAGAACTTGCATTTAAATTAATTATAATAATCCAGAAAAGGCTAGAAACAGTAAGTTCAGTAACCTTCCTTAATACTGGCGCCTAAAATCCATCCAAACAAATAACCTAATTCCTGATATCCAGCACAGCTGATCCTAAAAAACTTTGACCCGAGGCGTTTCCGACTGAAGTTAATTCATTCGAATAAAACTAAATAATCGTTAGGTTTTAAATACAACAAAAAGTCGCACACTGAGGCAGAGTGCAGATTATCATAAATCACGGCAAAACTCAAAAACGGAAATTCGACTTCGCATCACAATTGTTTGCGTTCCTCTAACATCCAAACACTTGAGGACTAATGAAAACACAAGCAAGAGAGAAGCACGCCGAGCCGCGCGCAAAGCATGCCGGTACATTTTCCGACTGGTTCGACCACGTGATCTGTCTCAGCACGCTATCGTATATTGCCAGCTGACACTTCATAATTTTAATCTCGCGAAATGTATATACTGCTTGAATTAAAAAAGAAATATTTCTGTTATTTTCAGACTTGCTGAAAATTTATTTATAGCATTTTCTATTTTTGTGTAAGAAAAAAAGTATTCAGTTGAAAAATTTGAAAATTTTAGGATTGACAGCTAAGATTTCAAAATATTTAAAAAAGAAAGAAAATATGAAAGCTTTAATTTTCAGATTTTATAATACGGTTTTTTTTAACGTTTTATTGTGCTACCTTTATTTATTAAATACCATTTTCTCGCATATGTTAAGAATAACATGTTCTTCTCATTTAAAACACATAAAATTCAACAGGAATATCACAAAATATTTAAAAACAGCAAAACGGCATATCTTGAGACTTTCCGATGCAAATCTTGCGCGCTGGATATTTATATATATATTTTCCGTACAGTTTTGCTATTGCTCGCTTTGAAATCGTTGAGTTTGTTAATCAAACATTCGTTTAAGTTTTACAAAATATGAAAAAGATAATAAAACAAATCCAAATTTGGTCTTCCAGATGCCCTTATTCGGGTGGAAACGTACGTTATTCAAAATTTGATGACAACTTCATGACAATGCTAGAAACATACATACATTTATGCAGATTCTTCATTATTTAATGTCTATAAATATAATACAGGGCGATAATATTTAGTGGCAACAATTTGAAAAGTGAACCGACATTTATAGCGAATCAACGCAAAATGCCCAAACGAAATTGATAGTTCTTCTGGGCAAATTGTCCCTTTGGACTTAAAATAAATTGCTCTTTAATCTCGGTAAGTCGAAGCTATGCACTTATTTCCCTGTATCACTTGCATATTAGATTTGCAATAAATATTTCCCTCAAATCCAAATACCCTCTTCCCAGAATACGAAATTTATTAAATCAAAACAATAAAATAAAATTTTTTGCGAAATTATAATTCAGAAAAAGAGATAGTTTCCTGAGACTCGCTTTTCTTTTTCATTAATTTTAATATTAAAAGATGATCTAGTGAAGAAATTTCGAATTTTTTATCGTAATAGCCGTCCATCGAAAGTATCCAAAAAGAACTTTATTTTAAAATAATATTTCAGCTTGGAAATAAAGCTTGTTAATACAATACACGAAATTATTGCTTGTTAATACACTACACGAAATTATTGCTTGTTAATACAATACACGAAATTATTGCTTGTTAACACGAAACAATTTTTTTAAATTGCTTGCTAATATTTTGATACTTTAATAACTCAGCAATACTAATGAAACATTTATTGTTGAATGAAGTATCTAAGAAGTGATTCTTAAGGAAACATTTTCATGTAAATAATGCAGTTTAAAAGAACGAAAATATGCAAATTTATATCCTTATCTAAGTTTTTATGCTAAGTTTATTAACCCAAAGGAGCAATTAATTTCCCGAAGGGCTATTAATTTCATTTTGGCATTTTGCGTCGTCCACTGTAAAACGGCGTTTCACTTTTCAAATTGTTGCCAGCAAATATTAGAGCCCTACATTTTATTTAAAAAAATTGAACCATGAAGAATCTGCATGAATGTATGTATGTTTCTCTCATTGGGAAAAACAACGGTACATAGAGACATCAAATTCTGAATAATGTTGTCCTCCACTCGAATATGGGTATCGGAAAGCCCAAATTTGGAATTTGTTTTATTATCTATTTCATATTTTGTAAACCTTTAATGAATTTTCAATTAAAAAACTCAACTATTTCAAAGGGAGCAATAGCAACACTGCAAGGGGGGGAAAATATATTTCCAGCACGCGAGACTGTCTACCAGAAATTCTATAGACATGGTTTTTTTTAAATATTTGTGATGTTGTTGTTGAATTGAATTTTATGGTTTAAGGGCGAAGAACATAATATTTGATAAATAACGTATCTCAAAAATGTTAAAGAAAGCACCCCTTTGAGCGTAATATAAAATCCGAAAACTTCCGGATTGTTTACATTTTTTTTTTTTTTTTTTTTTTTTTTGATTTATAAACGTTTAACATTGTTTAATTAATGCATGTGTTACATGTGGAATGCCAAAAGAATGTCTGCAAAAATCATTTATAAATTTTCAAATTCTAAAAGCATGTTATTAGTATTCCCCTGCAATTTTATTCCTTTGTATCGTAATCTCATAATCGCTTCAAAAATTATTAAACTATGAATATTTTTCATTTTCAGTGTATCCAGATTGTTTTGAGTTGGTTATGTACTACCACTGAAGCCTACCTCTATTTTCCAGAGCACGGCTTATAAGAGTTTGTGAAAAAAACATCTCCTCTTTAAACAAAAACAAAAATAAAAATAAAAAAAAAAATTTAAAAAAAAAAAAAAAAAAAAAAATTGAGCTATACGTTTTTCCATAATCTGCTTAGCAACACACTCGTCCATGAATATATTTGCATAAGAAACCTTTTCTAAGCTGATATTTCTTAGTTAGTTACGTACAAACGCAAACATTTAACTGTTAGATTTGTGTACCATCCATGAATATAATTTCTAATTTTAAAATTAAATAACTTAATCAACGTTTTCGTATCGGAGTTCAAATTTCTTTAATGGATTTCTTATAAAAGGTTTTTCTAAATATAAAACTGTAGAAGTCATGGCAACATCTAAAAACCTAGATTTCGTTATTCTTGAAAAATATATATTCTTAAATTAGAAAGTGTCAAAACATGAATATTTGAGTTAGTCAATATATGTCTTGAATTGAAAGTACATATGCTGAGACCAACGGGTTTCGATTTTTTTTTAATCCAGTGGTGGGCATTTGCTTATTTAACATTGGCCACTCTAAGCCCAGAAGTCGTAGAAGTCGTAGCCATTTTATTATGGAGGCATCTACTAAGCATCCGCCATTGCTTCCCATATGAACGGACTGAAAGTTACAACATTGTCTTCTCCCGGATTCGAACACGAAGTTTTCGGTACGGCATTAGGCCTTCTGGCACATTTATTAATCTGAAGACGGATTACTTTCTCTGAAAAGCATAGCAGTATGCGCGTTAGAACTATATAAGCTAGTTCAATATGTCAGCAGTAGGGTATGTGATGTGTATGTTCAATATGTAATTTTGTATTTATGTTGCACCAGGTTTTCATACACAAAGTCTGTACTGTATTAGATTGCTGTACTGTATCTGTACATGTTTATGTCTTTTATTTATGGTACCTAATTTATACTAAGGATCACGCGTACCGCAATGGCATGCTTCATGTAAACTTTAACTATTATGATAACGTATATGTATAGATGTATATATGAATATGAGTGAGAGTATGAATACTTTTATTTGTTTCGGGATATATATGTATGTAAGTGAGTATATATCTGTATCTGAGTTGGTATTTATATGTATATACATATATTTTGATTGTACTCTTCTTCAAGTGCCTTGTATGCATATGTATATTTCTTTTTTGCATTTTATAAATGTCGTCTGCTCAGCCGGGTCTTCCCAGGGCTACGGCCTGGCAGCTAGTGGTTAACTCCCGCTGAGTTGGTAACCAATTCTGCATAGATTATGTCTATACCTGAGTCAGAAGCCAACTCAGCGGTTTACTTCCCTAACGACTATACCGTCTGGGCGGCAGGTTTCGAAAAAAAAAGGCTTATTAAGCTTATGTCTCTTTGCGAACATAAGCATTTAAAAGAACTTTTGAAGAATTATCTTCTAACCTTGTGAAACTAACAGAGATCAGAAGGAGGGTGTATAAGGCTTTCGTTTTAAGCATAAAATTAACAAATGACCCTACTTGGGTTACAGGAAGCCAGCACCTCTGGCTTAACAGAAATACGTAACGAATAATTATTTCAAGTTGTGGTAGATTAGCCTAACGGCTCACAGAATATTTTAACGCGCAGGAAGAGCTCTGGTTTGTAGTAACCCGGCGAGACAAGACCTAATGCCGAGAACATATCAACGCCGCTAACGCAAGTCGCTCATAATCACAGTACAAATTGGTCTGGAATAGGCAGACACGTTCTAAAACTAATTCCCGAAACTCTTGCTCCCGAAATTATAAAACTAATTCCCGAAACTCTTTCTTAAATAATACTTCATTCTACCTCAATCTCAATTAACTCTCGCTATCTCATTACACTCTGGCATGAAAAGCGTAGAGTGAAAAAGAAAAACGTAAAAGGAAAGTCAAAGAATAAACTATTAGTTCAAAATAAACCTCACAGGCTGCGTAAAGACTTTTATGGATACGTTCTGTATTACAAATTAAATGTGTTAGATTATAAAATATAGCAATTTTATGAGAGCTGTTCGTAAAGTTACTGGCTCACTCCATTTCCTGAACACACGTCGATTATAGCAATTAGATGTACTATTAAAAATAAAAGTGAGCAATTCTATACAAAAGCATAATGTATGGTATTAGAGACTCTTTCATTAATGATAATAATGCTGTAAATGCCCATATTCAACTAGTAGATAGGGTATTTTTAAAATTATGTTATTAATTGCTATTGGCCGCGCAGATGGTGTAGGGTTTAGAAAAGCCTGACTTCGATACCGAAGAGCCGGGTTCGAATCCCGTAGAAGGCATGCCTGTAAAATTGTCTGTCCGTTCATAGAAGGTAACGGTGACCGCCTATTAGGTGCCTCCACAATAAAATGGCCACCATTTCGGGCCTTAGTAGTAGCCAGTGCCGTTATAGGAAAGTGCCGCCATTGGTGGAAAAATTATTGTTGCTATTAATTTATGTTAAATATTCCATTTTTAATAAAATATTAAATTTATCATTAATTTTAAATATAGAATTAAATTGTTAAAAAGTACACTTATTGTCTTAAAATTGCTCTATTTGTTAAACAATTATAATTTGAAGAATAACTT